AGGGCGCGATCCTGGAGACCCGGGATCGAATCCCACATTGGGCTCTAGTGCATGGAGCCTGCTTCTCCCTCTGCCTATGTCTCTGCCTCTCTCTCTCTGTGACTATCATAAATTAAATAAATAAACTGGCTGGGGTTTGTTTCTACTGCCTTTTTTTTTTTTTAAGATTTTATTTATTTATTTATTCGAGAGAGAGAGAGAGAGAGAGAGAGAGAGAGGCACAGGCAGAGGGAGAAGCAGGCTCCATGCAGGGAGCCCGACGTGGGACTCGATTCTGGGTCAGGCCCTGGGCTGAAGGCGACGCTAAACCGCTGAGCCAGAGCCACCCAGGCTGCCTGTTTCTACTGCTTTTAGCTGAAAATCTTGATACACCCCGAGGGACCTAGCTCCTGCCAGTCTCTTTCTTTATCTGGTGACATAAACTCTTTCTTTCAAAGTGATAAGCATCATCTTGCCTCAGGGCCTTGGCACATGCTTTCCCTCTACCAGGACCATCCTCTCCCCCAGGTATCCCTGCTTATCCATGGGCTAATTCCTATTCAGCCTTCAAGTCTCAGCTTGCATGTCACTTCCTCAGAGAGACCTTTCCCGCCCTGCCCCCAGCCTAGCCTCAGTCCTATGCTCTGGCTACACTGGCATTTTCCTTTACAGCATTTTATCACAATTGGAATGAGTTCTTCTAGGACATGAAATTGTGTCTCATTCCAGGGTTCTGGCATACAGTAAGGGCTGAGGAAAAATACATTCCTGTTTCCACACTCTCTAGGGACCTGTGTCCTGTCCTAACAGCCCTCTGCCACACTGCTCAACCTCTATCAGATTTTCTGACTCTTGGGACACCTGGGTGGCTGAGTGGTTGAGTGTCTGCCTTTGACTCAGGGCGTGATCCTGGAGTCTGGGGATCGAGTCTTACATCGGGCTCCCTGTATGGAGCCTGCTTCTCTCTGCTGGTGTCTCTGCCTTTCTCTGTCTGTGTCTCTCATGAATAAATAAAGTCTTTAAAAAAAAATTTCCTGACTCTTCAATATTTTCATTCAGAGGCAAGTAACAGATATCCCAACTCAAATGGGCTTAAGCAAAATAGTGAATTTATTAGCTTATGTAATTTTAAAGTCCAGGGGTAGATCAGGGTTCAGGAACAGTCCAACCAAGATTCATTCCCTCTTTTGCTTTCTTCCCTCCACTGTCTGGCAGGTGCTCCGCAAGAGGTGACAAAGAAGGCTACCAACAGCTCTAGGCTCAAAGCCTTCCCATGTGGCAACTCTTTCCCAATTGTTCAGCAAAAGCCAGGTGTGTGGAGGTCATCTTGACCCAGACCACATCAGCTGAGGGTAGGGTTCCTCAAGAAAGTAGAAAGGTGGGCAGCCCCGGTGGCTCAGCGGTTTAGCGCCACCTTCAGTCCAGGGCATGATCCCGGAGACCCAGGATTGAGTCCCATGTCAGGCTCCATGCAGGGAGCCCTTTCCCTCTCTCTTTCTCTCTCTCTCTTTCTGTGTCTGTCATGAATAAATAAATAAAATCTTAAAAAAAATAAAGAAAGTAGAAAGGTAAGTAGATACCAGGGGGCCCAAACAAGGTATGATTTTGGAAGCCTTTCTACATAATAAACCATTCCCACACATGGTGATTTAAAACATTTAGCATTCCTCACAATTCTGTGGATTATGTGGGCTCAGCTTGGCAGTTCTTCTGATGGTCTCTTCAGAGGTTGCTTATGCTTGTGGCTCCCTTGTGCTAGATGGTCTAAGATAGCCTCCTACACATGCATGGAGCTGGCCGATGGCCTCTCTCCACATGGTCTCTCATCTCTACTTGGTCCAGCCCGGACTTCCTTTTACAGTGGTAGGAGTGGAAGCTGCAAGGCCTAAGTTCTAGCCTTGGAAGTTTGCAGTGTTACATCACTGATCAGAGCAAGTGTCGAGGCCAGCTCAGGTTCTCCATCTTGAAGGCCTGAGTGACAAAGCCACATCACAAAAGCATACAGATGCAGGGAGGCAAAGATTCAGGAGAGGACATTACTGAAACAATTTACTGTACTTCACAGATACTCTCTTCTAGGTCCTTGAACTTACTCTCCTCCCAGCCTGGGTCTTTTGACCCTGATAACCACTGGAGTCTTGGCTCCTTGAAAAAGTCTTTCTGTGAAATCCTAGCAATGGTCTCTACTCACTTTTAACCCACTTTTAACTTATCCATTAATTGACTCAATCACTAAGCAGTTAGTAAAGCAATTACAGTCCTCTACTGGGCACCAGAGACTCACTATGATAAGACCCACTTACTGCCTTCAAAGTGTTTCTAGTCTAAAAGTGGAGACAGGGAGTTGAACAGATCATAACATAGAATATTGTTTGTTTAAGATTTTATTTATTTATTCACGAGAGACACTCAGAGAGGCAGAGACACAGGCAGAGGGAGAAGCAGGCTCCCTGTGGGGAGCCTGATGTGGGACTCGATCCCAGGACCCTGTGATCACCACCTGAGCCAAAGGCAGATGCTCAACCACTGAACCCCCCAAGTACCCCCTCCTTTTTAAAGATTTTATTTATTCATGAAAGACAGAGAGAGAGAGAACATAGTATATTAAGGGCAACGCTAGAGGGGGCAGGACATCTGAGAGCACAGAACAGCCAACTTAGCCTTGAGGGGTTAATGATCCTCTTGGGGTCACTGGGTTGATAAGAGAAGCTGGAACTTGTATTAGATAGTACTCCTGGTCATGTTAGAAACCCACCTTAAATTGCCTTAAGGAAAGAGAATATTGACTCACAACTAAAAGTCCTGAAAGTATTGATTTCAGGCCTGATTAGACCCAGGTGCTCATTAGACATCAGTCATGTCTCAACTCTCAGCTGTTTTCCTCTGTGATGATTTAATCTTCATGCAGATTGTTTTTATGTGTCGACAAAGATGGCTACTAACAGCTTCAGACTTATTCTGATTGCCCAGGCTTGGGTCCCAGGGAGTGGGGTCAGTCTCTCAGGACTACAGAACTACAGGTGTAAGAATGGAAGAGCGATGTTACCCAAGGGAAAAGAGTAAAAGAAAGGCTGATGAGTAGGGTGGACATCAAGTGTCCTCCTAGGCAGGTGACTAAATTACAGCCTTCAAGCAGTATCTTCTGGGAAGGAAGGGTGGGAGGTGGAGATAGCAGTAGAGTCTTCCAAAGTATCAAGAATGATAGCAGACATGCTAACAAAGACTTGAAAACATGGGGGTCAAATCCCTCCATGGCTACTTCTTGGCTGTGTAAGCTCTTTGAGATTTTGCCTCAGAGCTTCTACTGTGAAATCAAGCCTTTTTGAGTTGTCTTGAAGGCTAAATGAAAGATCAAATTCAGGGGCTCAGGAAAAGTCATCCTACTCTCTTCAGTCTTTAATCAAATAGTAGGGTCTCAGGGCTGATGTACTTTGCAAAAAAGGAGCGTTCTCCACCCAGTAGCCACCAGGGTCATTGCGCTGTAGGATTGACGTATTTACAGAACCGCCTCAGGTTTCTTCTTGGAGCCTATGGACAGATGAAGCAGTTTTTGCGGAGGACAGTGAGCCTGGGAGTGCCAGAACAGGGACATGCTTGCCTTGACAGATGAAGCAGTTTTTGCGGAGGACAGTGAGCCTGGGAGTGCCAGAACAGGGACATGCTTGTGGGCTGGGCACAGGGCAGAGTAGGTGAGGTTGTTAGGTGGACAGACAACCAGAGGGAGAAATTGTTTTTCTTCTATTTGACACCAACGGCAGATAAACAGAAGGAAGGTCTGGTTAGGGATGGGAACAGCTCATCTGGTAGGGACCCCTGTGAGCCAAGAGCTTTTTTTGTTATCTGCTTTGGGAAGAACTCTTAACGATCCACTATTATCTCTTCAGGACTTGGGCTCAAACTGTGATTTCTTCCAACTTCCACCTGACAGAAGATAGCTTTGGGTCACATGAAGTTGGTGGCAGGGCTTAGACCAATACCCCAGGCACTGAATTCTAGACCAGTGTCCCCCATGACACGCTTCATGGCTGCTCTATAGCATACACAGCTCTGTGTCTGCACTGAGGGGTTATTACATCCCAACTTGCTTTTCATCCAGCTCTGGGTTAAGAGCTTTACACACAATTCCATTGTCTTCTCCTTAGGTGTCATTGGCTGCAGAACCTGAGGTCTCTGAGGTGCCTGGGATAAGCTGAGGTTCCCTAGCAGTGAAAGGTGATTTCTTGTTGGAGCCCAAGGAAGAACCACCTCTGGCCAGGATGCTCCCCCTCCCTGCCGCACCCCAATCAGATTGAATTAGGTTTCCAGCATTTCATAAATCGTTGTGCCAGATGCCATTTGCCTGTGGCCTCACATCCCCAGGGAGACCTAGAACTTACTTAAGGCCAATAACATAAGTAACATTTATATAGTATCTATCATATGTCAGATACTTTAATGTTCATATGTATCTATTCTTTTAATTCCTCAAATAATCCTATAAGGTAGATATTAATGTTCCACCTTTAGGTACAGGTCAGCTCACTGAGACCACACAGCCCTGCAGAGCTAAAATCTGAACCCTGGCTGCCCAATTCCAGAGCCTGAGTTTTTGCTGCTACACTAGACTGCCTCTCCAGTGCTTATGCCTCTCCTTCTGTGAGACCTTCCTTAGCTACCAGAGCCATGGGCAGGAGTTCCCTCTGATGTTTATCTGTTGGATTGGGCATTGTGGGTCCTGGGCACTGACATGAGAGACCATTCCAGGCTAGAGAAATTCAAACCTGATCTCAGGGATGCTCAGAGTAAGAGGGGCCCTGATATTAAGTTGATATGAACCCTTGGGCTCAAATTCCCATGTGCCACAATATTCAAAATTAGAAAGACTGACAATACCAAGTGCTGGCAAGTTGGTGAGTTGACAGAATCACAGTGGAAAACCATTCAGTAGTATCTAGACAAGCTAAACACACATTTATTCTATAACGCAGCAATGCCACTCCTGGGTCTATGTGTGCATGTGCACACCAAATGACACAAGCAAAAATTTTCAAAAGAATTTTATTTATAATAGTTCAAAACTGAAATAACCCAATTGTCCATCAACAGAATGGCTTAATTGTGGTATATTCATACAATGGAGTACTACTACACAGCATGAACAAAAATGAACTTCTGACACACAAAAACCTGGATGAATCTCGCAGGCATAATACTGAGCAAAAGAGGATGTGATTCCATTTTTATAAAACTCAAGAGCAAGCAAAACTAGTCTATGGTGATAGAGGTCAAAACAATGTTTACTTCTGGGAGATAGTAACTAGGAAGGGGAATGAGAGAAATTTCTGAGGAGCTGGTAATGTTCTGTATCTTGATCTGGAGGGTGACTGCCCAGATGTATACACATATGTAAGGATTCATCAAACTGTACTTGAAAAATTGGAGCACATTATGAAATGTAGCTCAGAAAGGGAAAGAGCGGTATTTCTAATAAAGACAGTTTCTGGATACGGCTTACACAAGTAGTTATTTTTGCCCATCCCCATCCATTCTTCTCCCTTAGTCTCCTGGAAGGAGCCCCACACTTTCTTCTTTTCTCTTCCAGTCAACGTGTTTTAAGTAGAGCTCACTCTTTCCCAGGGCCCCAAACCAGGACACCATTTCCCCTAGTTGCAGTCATTAGTTTAGGAATCAGAATAGGGCCAAACTAGCTAATGAATCAATCCAGAATTTTTTTGGGTAACTAGTAGGTAAAGATGTTCTTTCTGTACTATAGTTGCCTATCTATCCTGGATACAAGCCTGGAGCTGCCAGTGGCCATCTTGCTAACTTCCAGAGAGAGAAAGAGGCCACATAGAGGAAAGCTGAGTAAGACTAAATTCTTCCTGAAGGGACACCTGGGTAGCTCAGTGGTTGAGCATCTGCTTTTGGCTCAGGGCTTGATCCTGAGTCCCGGGATCAAGTCCCTCACTGGGCTCCCTGCATGGTACCTACTTCTCCCTCTATGTCTCTGCCTCACTCTCTGTGTCTCTTGTGATTAAATAAAATCTTAAAGAAAAATATTCTTCCTGAAGATACTGTCAGAACCTGGATCTATCCATCCCTGTATCAAAAATTTTCATTAGGTGAATCAATAAATTTCCCTTTTTACCTAATCACTTTGATTTCAGTTTCTTACAGTTATAACTGGAGTCTAATATACTGGAAATCTTGGATAAAATATTGAGAAGTATGAGGGGGACTTTGGAAGATAAAATAACCACTGAGCCTTGTCCAGTCTATTTTATGGTTGCTTGCTCTATGAGACCACAGCCCTGCTAGAAGTTGGGCGGGGGCAGGCCCAGGGGTCCTGTGGGAAGGTATTTTCATCCTTGTTTGGAAAGGGTTCTGGACTAGGAATCTAGAGAACTGGATTCTACTCTTCATTTTGTTGCTTCTTGGTGGCAGGTCCTTGGGCAAAATACTATATACATCTTTGAGTCTTTTCTATAAAATGGAAAATCATTACCTTGCTCAAAAGGCAGTTAGGCAGATCAAATGCAGCTTTTTCATCCCCTTAGGTGAGTTAGTGCCTGCATCCTGGGCATTCTCGCTGCACCCTGTATGACCCTCTATTGCCATAATAATCTTTATAGTATTTCTCCTCAAGGGCAAGAAAGTATTTATTCCTGTACCCTCTTGCTAACAGAGCTGGGCACACAGCTAGCAGAGACTCCTGAATCTAGACTAAGAAGTCTTATGGGCTAGGGGCTCATTATCTGGCAGCCTACCCACCCTTTTCCCCTTCATTTCCTTGCCTGATAGATGAGGATGATTCTGACATCCTGGATAAAGTAGAAGGACTCCAGGGAAATTGCTGAGACAGTCTAGGCTTTGGATGCTGGGAGCTGAGAACCCACCATGGGGGCTATGTGGGGCCTTTCCCAGCTGGTCAAAAGCAGGTGCTCAGGAACAGTTTGCTGAGTGAAGAATGGGGGCTGAGGCTGCCTGGGTACCCTCCTCAGATCTGGCTATCTGAAACAAATGCTGGACAAAGGGCTCCTGAGGCCATTACACTTCCCTAGCTCATTTCTGGGTCATACAAAAGCTTCCTGTAAGAATCTCTAGGCCAAAAGTTGATGGAACAAACCTAGTTCTGAGTAAGAGCTGTGTAGGAAAAGGCCATCTTTCTTACCTATACCCTCATTCATGCATTTGTGCATTCATTCAACAAACAGTTCAGGACACACCACTCCACATTAGAGAAGTGGAGATGAAAGAGGTTAAGGCTCAGTTCTGAAGGGATTAGCCTGGAGAGAGCCATATTGGACATAGTCTCCATTTTGGCTTTCTTGTTGGTCTCTTGTTCTTCTCCCCTGCATCTCTTTTCCACTTAACAGCCAGCCAGAATGATCCTCTCAAAGAAAGTAGATTCTCGGCTTAAACCCCTTAAAGACTTCCATGAGACCCTCTACAGGGGGAGGCAGATAAGTGGATGAGGTTGTACTAAGCCTGGGAAGGTTTCCACAAGGTTGCCAAGCAATTCAGATGTTTATCTCTGTTCCACCTCTTAAGATCACTATTTAAAGCCCCAGGAATCTGAGAGGGGTGAGGGTAAGGGGTCAAGACACACATATTAGATCAAATGGCATTATGGCACCAAATCTCAGGTCTGTCAAGCTGCAGTCTGGCTCATGGATAAATTCTTTATTTAGACCAAGAGACAGAGCAAACATGCGTGCGTGCGTTTATACACACACACACACACACACACACACACACACACACACACAAAATATGTAAAGGCATTTCACAGGCAAAGGGATAGGCAATGGGGGGAAGAAGCCACGAGAGCAGCTAGGGGCCTACAATGGTTATCATTTCTTGGAATTGCTGCTTAAAAGCTACAAGGAAAAACCCACTCCTAGTGAAGTCCCAGGCCATAAAAACACAGCAGAGTTGGAAAAGTCTAAGTTTGGGGCCTGGGGAACATCTTTTTCCTCATTGCGGAAATCTGTACCAGCTCTCCTTTCTTTTCCTGGGGGTCCTATTCTGTTCCCTGGTACCCAGGAATCTCCTGGTGGATGATGGGAGAGGGCTAGCACCACAGCAACCTGGGCAGGTGATCTGCTGCATAAGGAGGAGAGGGCTAGTAGAGCCAAGGGGTAGCAACGAAACTTTGAGCTGGCTGGCATGAGGCAATTTGCCTTTAAGGGCACAGAACCATCAAGGGAACTTCCATGTGGGGACTTTCCCACATGACCCTGGATCAGAGCACCTCTCTGATAGAGGAGGGGAAAGGCCCCCCCTTGAACTTTCTGTGAGCCCACAGGGTACTGAAGCCTCCTCCAGCTCTAGCTTTTCCCCAGTTGCTGCAGATCCTTAGCACCATTCAGGAACTGTGGAGAAGGGGCAAGAAGGACAGCTCTGCCAGGACTGTGTCATTGCTCCAGGAGGAAACTTCACAGTGGGCAGACAGCTGTATAACTGGCCAGTATCTGGTCCCAGGTTCAGGAAAGCCTGTGCTTTTGGGGGGAAGACGGAGTGTCATATTAGCTCCAAACTTCCATGGGGTAGCCACTTCCATCTACCCTTTGCCACCTAGGCCGAGGTCTGGTGTGAAAGCTCCAGGTTTTACTGGAGCTGCCTAGAGCCCAGGGAGAGCTCAGTTCTTTAGCTGCAGAGACTGGTTCAAAACTGACCTGCAGATGACAGACAGGCCTGGGGCTCATGACATATGGCCCAAGGGGACTGGGGAAGGGGAAAGGCCTCCAAACTACTATCTTGTGAGGCCCCGAGTCCTCTAAAGATCCACCCCCTTCCCTTGTCCTGACCTACAGGGTCCATTCAAAAAGGGAATTGCAGGGGTATATTTGCCTGGACCAATCAGAGGCTATCTGTGGCCCACTCCTGCCTTAGGTCTATGTGTTCTCCAGGTATAAGAAACGAGGAAGAGGGAGCCAAGAGCTGACCATGGTAACAGGAAGCTGGCTCATGGCTGGTTCAACCTGGGGTGCTGGACAGAAACATCTCTAGTCTTCCAAGGTGGCTGAGTCTTTCTCAATGGGCTGCCTTTGCATTGGAATCTGGCCCAGGGGTGATGCCACTGTTTTTGGTGACCTGTAATTTGAGAAGGAATAAATGCACAGGATCAGTTTATGGTGGTTGTGAAGGTGCTCCAGGTAGTTTATTCTAAGGAGTACAGCTCTTCCAGGGCCTTAAGAGTAATAAGGAGGGCAGCTCTCGTTTACTGAGGGCCACTGCATGCTAGGCACAATGATGGGTGCTTTGCTTCCAGCATCATATTTCATCTTCAAGGCAACTCTACAAGGAGATAGCACCCCTTTTATATATGAGGAAACTAAAGTTCAGAAAGTGTAAGTCATCTGCCTCCAGTAAGCTTTTTTTTTTTCAAAATGTTTCCTCCCAGTAAGCTTTTTATTTATTTACTTAAAAGATTTTATTTGTTCATTCAGGAGAGACACAGAGAGAGGCAGAGACATTAGGCAGAGGCAGAGGCAGAAGCAGGCTCCCTGCAGGGGGCCTGATGCAAGACTTGATTCTAGGACCCTGGGATCATGCCCTGAATTGAAGGCAGATGCTCAACCACTGAGCAACCCAGGCATCCCCCCAGTATGCTTTTTAAAAGTGTGGTTGATTCCGGACGGCAGCCCATGTCTCCACTCTACCAAGCCATTTATTCTGCTTACAGGGCCCTATATGACCTGGATAGTACAGACTGACCATTTTCCACCTCATACTAAGTCAAAAGTAGCTCTCCTGTCACTCTTATCCCACTCTCTGGGCATCTAGCAACACCTGTTATTATCTTATTTGTTTATGAATTTGCTTAGGATCTGCTTCTATCATTAGACGGGGATCCAAAAAATCAGGGAACACTACTGGTCTTGGATCTTACTGTAGTCCTGGTGCCTCAAACAGGGCCTGGCACAAAATAGGTACTCAATAAATATTTGCTGAATGAATGAAAGCTTATCTTTAATAGTTGCCCTTTTTGGTACTAGCAGAATATATACATTATCTCTAACTTTCATGTTATCTTGTAGGGTGAGGTTAATGAGCTCCATTTGGAATGGCAGAGCAAAATGAATGTGCTTTGGAATTAAAAGATTTGAATTCTGGGTTTATCTCCAAGTAACTAGCAATCTTGGGAAGTCACTTAATCCATCTGACATTAGGTTTCCTTGGGTTGGAAAAGGGGGGTTTGTATGTCTATAGTTCAGAGCTGCTATTGCAATTCAACAAATTGTAGCTATAATCTCACAGAAAAAAAGCGGAGGTTCAGAGAGGTTTACTAACTCACCCAAAGTCACATAGCTGAAAGTGTAGAAAGAAAACAGTAAACACCAGCATTCTCAAGGTGGGGTAGCCCCAGGGAAGGGCTCTGGCTGGTTCCAGGTGGTCTACTGAAATTGCCACCATTCAAGCTGCAAGGAAAGTATGCTGAAATGGGAGTGAGCCCAGGCTAGATTGCACAGGCTTGTGTCAAGTCCATATCTAAAATAAGCCTAATGAGTCCTCCCAATTTAAAAAATATATATAAATAAATAAGAAGATCTGCTGCAATACGGGAGGGGAAACTTCAGGCAGAGAGGACCAAGGACTTTTTGACTCTAATATTCTGTTTCCACCACCTTTAATTCATTCAGCTCTGTGAGCAATGCAGAACATATCACCAAAGTCAAAGAAATCATTTCAGACTTGCTTGCTTGAAACTGTTTCCTCATCTGTAAAATGGGGATATTCCCATCTCAGAAAGTTACATAGTAGCACACTATCCAGTTCTCTTCTGAGAGGAAGGGACAGAACCATGTGAGCCCCCCGGTCAGACCATAGAACCTTATGTTATATGGTGCTACAACCTCCTTGTAAGCATGATGCCCTGGAGGAGTGTCCTGTGAGCCAGACAAGACTTGAACTAGTTTGAATTATAGGCTCTGCCTCATACTATCACTTGGAATCACTATTCTGTCTGTTATAACCCCTTCTTCCTAGGGCTGTTGAAGGATTACTAGACAGAATTTGCTTGGCATGTGCCCTGTAACAGAACAGGGGCGCAAAGAATGTTAGTCATTTTCAAGGTTATCATGAACAGATGACTGATTCTTTTTATCTCTTCCCTTCAAAGCACTTATCATAATTTATAATTATTGGTTGTTTACTTGTTTATTGTTTGTCTCCTCCCATCAGAATGTATGGTCAGTCATGAGAGCCGGGACTGGATCTGTCTTGGTGTTCAATAAATTTTTGATCAATGTGCAAACCTGGTCATATTTGGTAATAACCCGTAGAGGGAGCTCTTGCCATAGAATTGATGGCAGTCAAGACTAGGTTCTTTAGGCCAGTGGTGGGGGGAAAAAAGCTTCCGTAGTGAGACTGCTAAAGGGCAAGAAATCTAAGTATTTTAGGAAACCATCAAGGAAATTGTCTATGTTTCTCTACTAAAACTTTCAGCCCAGTAGGTCCAAAGGCTGCAGGGAAGCTGATGGGAGAAAAACTTAGTGGAGACACTTCTTCATGTTAACTGAGAAAAGGCTGCCAGGATTCCATTTTCACAAAGGAATATCTGTTTTGATTTAGAAGCCCTGAGTTCTTGTTGCAGATCCTTGAATTTCAAAGGACAATTACTCACTGGTTCTTGTGTTTGAAGCCGCTGACATGAGCTTGATACTGTTCTATGGAGTTCAGCATTATCTTACACGTCTTGCAGGGGTAGCCCTTCCCAGCTGAAACACACATAAAAATCAAGATGCTTAGTTATCCAATAAGAAGGGACCTGAGGACTACTGCTTTTGGCAGTAAATGTCCTTCTGAGGATGGATGGTGGGGTAAGGTTAGGAGGTTGGCCCTGATGAGAATCCCAGAGGCCTCAATGCTCAGGGGGCACAGGGTGCCTATGTGCTTCCTGGGGTTAGGAAGCATCCTGCTGCATGCCCAGCATTGAACCTGGTCCAGAGTAGCTGTCTGCTGAGTAAATAAATGATTGACAGAACAAAGAGGTGACATTTGGTATAACTGTCTTTTCTACCTTGACTGTGCTAAGTGGTCTCATTAAGGATGCCCCTCACTGAGAAATCTCCGGGAAATTTCCACTCTCCTCGCGCTTGCAATAACCGTAATTAATGAGAATGCCTACTATGTAAATTAATCTGACTTTCTACCTTGGGGCTCACAGACACCCTGTCTTACTACCAGGGCTGATTCAATGACAAAGTGGTCTTTGTTCATGTGGTCTAGTAGAGAGCATGGGTCAGGAACCAAGATATGGTTGGAGCTGGACTCCTGGCTCTGCCTTCATGTGATCTTGGCTAAATCCCTTCCACTTTCTGATTCTCAGCTTTTCTCAACTATAAGCCAATTACACCATAACTTATAACCATAACAATTATAATAATAAAAAGCATATTATTAACCAAGTACCTGATATAGGCCATGTATGCTATATAATTTTGTCTGGCCCCATGACAATCTTGTGAGAATCATTACCATTATTTTATAGATGAGGAAAATAAGGCATAGTCACATGCCTAAGAACACAGAGTTAGGAAGTGACAAACTTAGGCTTGACAGGCCATAAAGGGTGTACTTATTCTAGCATGCCAAACATTAGCTATACAAAAAAGGCAGCTGTACACATAACTTTAAGAGCTGTCTAGTTCTGATACTTTTCTAATCATCTGCCATCCTAAAGTGTCACAATTCTGGAGTGAGATCACCTCGGCTCAAATCCCAGCTCTATCATTTCTTACCTGTAGGACCACAAGCCAGTTACTTAACCTCTCTGAGATTTGGTTTCCTCATTTGTAAAAGTGGGGCTTCTCTGAGACTCAGGTTCCTTACCTATAAAATGAGGTTAATATTAGTATCAACCTCATAAGGTTACTGTAATGATTTAAGTAAAAGCATTTGACACATAGGAAGTACTCAACAGGGATCCCTGGGTGGCGCAGCGGTTTGGCGCCTGCCTTTGGCCCAGGGCGCGATCCTGGAGACCTGGGATCGAATCCCATGTCGGGCTCCCGGTGCATGGAGCCTGCTTCTCCCTCTGCCTGTGTCTCTACCTCTCTCCCTCTCTCTGTGACTATCATAAATAAATAAAAAAAAAAATTAAAAAAAAAAAGGAAGTGCTCAACAAATGAGAGCTTTAATCACTAATATAATTTTACTCTTATGGGTTCAGTGCATAAAGAGGTGAGAGTATCTTTTTTTTTTTTTTTTTGAGAGTATCTCTTAAATTGCCTTCCAACACAGCTGTTGCTACTGTGAACACCAATGATCTCCTCTATTCTAATACACTAGCCAATGCTCCCAGTGACATTTGTTTCCTTTGTTATCTTCAGGTATTTCCCAGAAGATATATCCTTAAAAGAATTTAAGGGAAAAATTACTGTAATCAGAATTCAGGTCCTTTTTAGACATTTATGGCCAGGATTTCCAGAGGGCTTAATCTTAGACCCTCAGCTCTTCTCTCTCTAAACTCTCTAAGGGGTCTCATTCATTCCCCTGACTTCAATTACCACCTAAAACATATGAAATTACCAATATTTAATAGTTACTGACCTACTCAATGGAAGTATGTCTAACCTAGAACTCCCCTGAGGTCTAGACCTATATATCCAACTGTCTACTTGGATATCTCATGGGCATCTTAAACTCAAGTTGACGAAACCTGGTTATCTATCTGGTTGCCTAAGACTAAATCTGGTCACCATCTTTGACTAGTCCCTTTCCTTTACTTCCCACATTTTTTTTTTTTTGGTAAATATTTTATTTATATGTAATCTCTACACCCAACATGGGGCTTGAACTCACAACTCTGAGATCAAGAATTTCACACTCTACTGACAGCCAGCCCTTATCTCCTACATTTGATGGCCAAATCCTGACAATTCTACTTCCAAATAACTCTTGAATCCATCTACTTCTGTCTATCTTCTCTACTGCTATCTTAATCCAAGCTCTTCTCCAGTATGAAATTACTACAATATCCCCATTGCTGGGGTCTTCCCACCCTCCTTCCTCCCTGTTCCAAAACATTCTCCACTTTGTAAGCAGAATAATCTAATAATGCTTAAACTTAAACTGTCAGTGGCTTCCCAACACTCTTAGGATAAAGGATCAAAACCTTAACATGATCAACACCATGACTGGATAATCTCCCCAGGATAATTTTGCCCAACACTATAATCCTTATGCCCTGGGAAGTCTTCATTGATCCTTGCCCCTATCTTAGTTTATTCCATTTATTTCATTTCCTTCTTTTTTTTTTCAAAAGATTTGTCTATTTATTTTAGAGAGAGAGAGCATGCACATACATGTGTGCACAAGCAGAGTGGGGGACAGGCAGAGGGAGAAGGATGGAAAGAATCCCAAGCAGACACCCCACTGAGCATGGAGCCAGATGTGGGGCTCAATTCCAGGACCCTGAGATCATGATCTGAGCAGAAATCAAGAACCGGTTGCTCAACCAACTGAGCCACCCAGGGGTTCCCCACTTTTTATTTATTATTTAAAAAAAAAGATTTTATTTATTTATTCATGAGAGACACTGAGAGAGAGGCAGAGGCATAGGCAGTGGGAGAAGCAGGCTCCCTCTGGGGAGCCTGATGTGGGACTTGATCCCAGGACCCTGGGATCATGACCTGAGCTGAAGGCAGACACTCAACCACTGAGCCACCCAGGTGTCCTGCCACCCCTCACCCGAGAGAGAGCAGGGGAGAGGGGCAGAGAGCATCTTAAGCAGACTCCATGCAGAGCACAGAGCCTGATGGGGGTCTCGATCTCACAACCCTGAGATCATGACTTTAGCTGAAACCAAGAGTCCAGTGCTTAACTGACTGCTCCACCCAGTAGCCTCATTTTCTTAATATCTTATTTTTAAGTAATCTCTACACCCAAAATGGGTTCAAACTTAACAACCCTGAGATCAAGAGTTGCACATTCTATACTGACTGAGCCAACCAGGTACCCCATTTGTTTCCTTTTCTAAAGCTTGTCACATTTGTAGTTATTTGATTAATGCCTATCTTCTCTCCACTAAACTCTAAGCTCCACGAGAACATGGAATATCTGTCTTGTTTACTACCATATATAAAATGGCATATATTAGGGAAGAACTCAACAAATATTTCTTGACTACATATGAATTTAACAAGACCTGAAAACCTGTTCTTTTTTTTTTAATTTTTTTAAATTTTTATTTATTTATGATAGTCACAGAGAGAGAGAGAGAGAGGCGCAGAGACATAGGCAGAGGGAGAAGCAGGCTCCATGCACCGGGAGCCCGATGTGGGATTCGATCCTGGGTCTCCAGGATCGCGCCCTGGGCCAAAGGCAGGTGCCAAACCGCTGCGCCACCCAGGGATCCCCTGAAAACCTGTTCTATGTAGTGGCTGAAGAAACTGGGGGGATCCATATAGGGCAGAGAAAGCAGACCTGTTCTATATAGGAGGAAAGGCCCTAAGTAGGGAGAGAAAACAGTGGGGTAAAGCAGAGGAGGATTCCAGTAACTTGGGTTGGGGAGGTCAGGGGGATGTTTAATGCTCTGGCTGTTGGAAGGATTTGGCTGCCTGTATGATATGCAGGCTTTACCTTTGGTATTCTTGGATAAATAAGAGAAATGTGAGCCTAGAGTACAAAGCAAACTCCAAGTCCTTGCTCTGCTTGGTGGATGCTGCATCTTCTTGCGGGGGAGAGATGTGGATGCTCTGGGTCATCCAACATTTGACCCATACTTGCCATAAGACACTTTGACAAGAGCCCCATGGAAACTATTCTCTGGACCCAACGCAGAACTTGACCTAAGTTTCAATGCCGCCTCTGCTGCTGCCTAGTGTGGGACTACAAATCACCTCATCTTTCTGATCCGAATGACTTCATTTGTAAAATAGGGATAATCAAACTTGCACAACAGAGCTGCTGTGAGAATTAAATTAGGTGATTATGGGTGAGAGCATGTAGCTTAAGGCCTGAACTGCAGCAGCCACAGTTAAGTATAGATGACTGACTGAATGAACAAACAAGCTTCGACAGAGGCCAGGAGGGAAAAGTCAAGCTGCTAACAAACCTAAAATCTGGGACACCTTGGTGGCTCAGTGGTTGAGCATCTGCCTTCAGCTCAGGGTGTGATCCCACGGTCCTGGGATCCAGTCCCACACTGGGCTCCCTGCTTGGAGCCTGTTTCTCCCTCTGCCTGTGTCTCTGCTTCTCTCATGAATAAATAATAAAATCTAAAAACAAAAACCAAAAAAACCCCAAAACCAAACCAAACCTAAGACCTTTGCTAAGGTGGAACCCCTGTCATCTAGAATACATATTCTAGATCAGCATCCCACCTCTGTGGGTAAGAAGGGAGTCAGAGTGGGTTTAGTGCCTCTGCTGATATTTTGTAGTTGGAAAGCCTCCTGCCAAGTATATTCAGAGCCGAAGACAGAAGAAAGGGAGTCAGACCTCAGACCTGCGCTGAGATCATCATGAACTTTTTCCAACTCCTGATGAAAAAGAAGGAACTTATTCCTTTGGTGCTGTTCATGGCCACAGCAGCGGGCAGAGCTTCGTGTTTCGCTGTATATTCCCTTCAAAAATATGATGTGATCCTTGATCGGAAAAGAAATCCAGAACCTTGGGAAACCATGGACCCTAGTGTACCTAGCAAGCTTATAACAATGACCAAGAATGGAAGCCCATTGAAGAGCTGCAGAAGGTCCGAAGAGCCACTAAATGACCAGCCCTTGCTTCTTTCTTTCAAAGAGTACTCTATGAATCTAGTGGAAACATTGCTGTACAAACTAGATTATGGATACCAGTGTGCGGAAATGCTTCTGCTACATTTTTAGGGCTTGACTACATTTTTGGACTCAGGATAGGAATTATGAAGGTAGTACAGCAATGACCACATAGTTCAAAAATAATTTTGTGTTTATTTTCTTGTTGTAAATTTAATTTTGCATATTGAAATTTTAATGTTTATGATGCCCAAATGGTTTCCTTAAAGTATATAGAGATTTATAAACTGAATTGTCTATAATAAAATACTATTTGTGCAATAAAAAAAAAAAAGTAAGTTTTGGAGCCAGACAGAGCTAGAGACACATACTGATACTGTCACTTATCAACATCGGATCCTATCAGCTATGTGACCTTGAGCAAGTCACTTTGAGTCTCAACTTCTTTATCTGTGAAATGGGAAAATCATAGCTATTTTTAGGAATGCTGTGGGAATTAAATTATAATGTATAGGTTATATCAAAGGGGGTGTGATACCCCCACCCCCTGCCTAGGTTTTCATGAAAAATTTTGGCTGATTTGTAAAGCCGTCAGATGCCTCAGCAAGAAGAAAAGACATAGGATATAATTCTAGGATTAAGTATGGTAATTAGCCTTAGACAAATGGAGGAATAGATATAGGAAGGAAACTTTGGTTTAAGATAAAAGAAAAGAATGGATACAAGTTAAGATAAGCAGCTTAAAACACAGCAGTGCCTGAGTCCTGACAGTGGACAAGAGATGATGAGGAAATAATCAGGGCAGGGCCAAATAAAGGCAGGCCAGGAGCTGAAACACAGAAGGGTCAGCTGCAAGAGAACCCTGGGTAATGCTGGTTGGATGCTATCAGTCTTAGGACAAAATAGGAGAGTCACAGAAGGAGGGTTCTAAGGAGCTTGGTTCTGAATTTTCCAGATTTCTTCAGCATGTAGGGCTGGCTTCTGTTAAAGGGGAAGGCTCTGCTTGTATGTGGGAACACTACAGTAAATATACAATTTTGGGGATGCCTGGATGGCTCAGTGGTTGAGCCTCTGCCTTCGGCTCAGGGGGTGATCCCAGAGTACCAGGATCGAGTCCTGCATTGGGCTCCCTGCATGGAGCCTGTTTCTCCCTCTGCCTCTGTCTCCGCCTCTCTCTCTCTGTGTTTTTCATGAATAAATAAATAAAATCTTTTAAAAAAATACAACCAATTTTGAAGAGGTTTATAAAGCAGGGTCCTTCTGTGGCATTGGAAGAGTGCTCCTTGGCACCCTGTTGAAGCCATTGTTTCATGCCCATCTCATCTTGTCAGTACTGCTCAATGATGACCTGTGTTGTATGGCTGTTCTGGGTTTGGGGGTTGTTAGAGAGGCATGATCTCTTCCCTTGCTCATATGTGGTCTGGAACATCTATAGCAACTGGGTGTTCACCTTTCCAGGACTGTGGCAAGAGCACAGAAGGCTCTGAACAGCCGGTTCCCTGAGGCCAAGTTGTTTGTACTTGGATGCCATGAGGGCCTCCAGTGTTGACTGGTGCTGCATCTCCACAGCCTGAGTGGAAACCCTGAGAATCCACATGAATGCTCATGTAGACTCCACAAGACAGGGACTATGTCAGTCTTGGTCACTACTGTACCTCAATAGGGAACACAGTAGGTACTCAATAAACATTTAGACTGAGTGAAAGAGAAAATAATAATCTCCTCCCACCCCACTCTAATGATAAGCCGTGAGTAGTTACCATGATGGGAAGGGCTCCAAACTCTTCATGAATGCTTACTTCTGTGAAGTTAGGGAAAAACTAGTATTCTCTGAGTCAGAGTGGTGTCCTTCACTATGCTATTCCAGGGATATAGGCAGGTCTCAGCTGCTGAGAGATGAGGGGCTCTGAGGACACTAATCTGACAGAGACTGCTGAGGCCTTCACATAGGAATGTGGATGACAGGGAGATTAAATGAGATTGCATACCGGTGGCCCTTGGCCCAAATCTGGCTTGCAGATGGGTTTGATTCACACAGGGTTTAAAATTTTTAAAACCTGAGGGGAATTTTTTTTTTTTAAGATTTTATCTTTTTTTATATATCATAATTTTTCTTAAGATTTTATTTATTCATGAGAGACACACAGAGAGGTGCAGAGACACAGGCAGAGGGAGAAGCAGGCTCCATGCAGGGAGCCTGATGCGGGACTCAATCCCAGGTCTCTAGGATCACGCCCTAGGCCAAAGGTGGTGCTAAACCACTGAGCCACCAGGTTGCCCTTAAGATTTTATCTTTAAGTAATCTCTACAGCCAACATGAGGCTTGAACTCAATCCCAAGACCAAGAGTTGCATGCTCTACTGACTGAGCCAGCCAGGCACCCTTTAAAATGAGGGGAATTCTTAAACAAATCTTTTTAGGGATGCCTGGGTGGCTCAAGCGGGTGAGCGTCTGCCTTCGGCTCATGGTATATGATCCTGGGATCTGGAATTGAGTCCCGTATTGGGCTCCTGGGGGGAAGCCTGCTTCTCCCTCTGCCTGTGTCTCTGCCTCTCTCTCTCTCTCTCTCTCTGTGTGTGTGTGTCTCTCATGAATAAATAAATAAAATCTTTTTAAAAATCTGACTTTCTAGATTCTTTTGAAAAACTGATGATATGATAGTAACTAACTGGAGCTGCCTGGGAGAGGCATATACTCTTCAGCTGATCATATCCCCTCTTGGCTCTTCCACTTATTTAAATCTCCTGTCTGGTTTCTGCAGGCATTTGAGTTTGCAACGCCTTCTTTAGGAGATGTAAGGAGGAAAGGGCATAGCCTTGGTTGTTTGGGGAACTCTACGCGTCAGGATCTGATCCAGCTCTGGGTGTGAGCTGGGTCCCTTACCTGATGAGTCAGTGACAGCAGGGTCTGCCAGCCGCCCATAGTGTGCCATGAGTTTGAGCTTGGTTTCCTGTTTCCTGTGTTTCTTGCCCACATAATGTTGTTGAGCCATGACAGGGTCGTTGAAAGTCGCATGGCAGAGGCTGCAGAACTTGTCTGGGTCTATCATCTCTCTATTCTGGTGCAAGGCTAAGGTGGAGGCCACAAGGAAAGGGTTTGTAAGGCGTTTCGACAGAGCTGCGGTGAGAGAGTTCAAACAGAAACAATGAAAAGACCCAGAAGGTGCCAAGCTTTCTAATATGCAGAAAGGAAAGGCTGGGTCACTAATCACACTTGTAGATGTGGCACTGCCTGTGTGAATCACACAGGGAAAGCCTTCTCTAAATGTGAAAACTGGGAAGATTTGGGGGAGCTCAATGACCAGCTACTTGGTCAGCAGCTCTCACTGCATTAGGTACATGAATGCTGATTTTCTCATAGTCGGAGGAGGCTTCTACTATCAAGTTGTCAAATTACAACAGACTAGAAATGTACATGTTTGTAGTCTTTTTACCCCTCAGAATTCCCGAGAACATCACAGCAAGTGGGGCAAGAAACTAGGGTGTCATTCCCATCCTCAAAGTGCCCTAGTTACAGAACTGGAAACCAATGCACAGATGTAGCAACTGAGGGCCTGAGGACCTGGAGGTCATTTAGAAAAGGCAACTGTACTAGGGAGGCCTTTTGGGTTACAATGCCTTCTAGGCTGCTAGAGGAGAGTAGAGGAGAGCATATAACATTTAGTTACATGCTTTGTACATATATTTCTTCCTTTGGTCCGCAGAACTACCCCATGAGATAGATATTATTTTGCCACAATAGAGAGAAAAACCAAGGCTCTGATGAGTAAAGTGACTTGTCCAAGATCACCCTGCTAGCTGTCTGACACTATAAAGACTATGCTGTCTTTGCTATGCTAGGCTGCCAGAATGTGGTAAGGTAACCTGAGGGTGACAGTTCATGCTTTCACCTTCAGAAAACATCCCTGGCTTTGGTCAATGTATTCAGTTAACCAGAATCTGTTATAGACATATGCGTAAGCCTCCTGTGGGTCAACAAATGTCATGGTACCAATGACAGGCCAGACTGCTGCTTTATGAAGTGGATGCCAAGACTCACTAATAAGTCCACATGGCTAGAATGGTGTCAACCTTGTAACTACTGCTTTAAAAATGTGGCCTAGAACCCCCATCAATGGTGGAAGACAAGTGGAGCTCAGCAGCACTCAGATAGATGGCTCAGATGCTTGTTCATCTCTGGACTACTTCAATGGGGGAAATTTTGAGGATTTTTGGCAAGCCAGAGGAAACTTGCTGGCTTTTCTCACAATGGTTTTCCAGCATAGGAATCTCAATTTCCCTGACCACTGACTTTCCCTGTCCATTGTTTCAGCAAGTCACTTAAAAAGTAATGCACATGTTGTAGAATATTTAATATATGAGAAAATATTCAATGTGGTGTTATGTTAAGAAAGCAGGTTATACAGCAACCTGCTTATGTCTTCAGTTTTATCAAATAAACAAATGAAAAAACATACTTGTGATACATGGAAAAAAGGCCAAAGGCATAGAATAAAAGGGTGCTTTTCAGTATTTTCCAACTTTTCTACAATGAATGTAGATTTTTCAAATCAGAAAAGAGAGACAATAATGGTCTCTCTATTAAGGCATAAAAAGGTCATTCTTTAAAAGATACTGAAGAGAAACATCAGAGGTGAATAGTTAAAAGTCAAGTTGGAGGAACTGCTTCATGGACATCCAAAAAATAACAACTAAGGGAGTCTTCTCTTAGGAAACAGCTTGAAATATGGAAAGAGTATTCTATAGGGATGTTTGCTGTACTGTTATTTATAAATATCAAAAAAGGGGAAGGGGAAAATGTTCAACATTGGTTACATGTGGTATGATGGGCTATTATACAGCCATTAAAATGTTTATGAAAAAAGCTTTTAATAACATGAGGAAGTACAAATGTTATATTAAACAGAAAGTGTATATAGGGAATTATACACAGAATATGATCTTATTATTGTTAAAAGATATATGCACAATCTTTATGTATGTATTGGCATTTGAAATGACATCAATATATCAATGTTTCTCTTTTGGTGGTAGGATTTGAGGGATATTTTACTTTCTTCTTTTTGCATTGTCTACTCTAGAATCACTCAGAGAGAGAACATGTAGTATCATTTTTATAAACACAATAAGGTTATTTAAAGTATTCTATGTTTATATGCACGTATATATATGGGTTTAATCTGGATATACATAAAACAACTATACACACAGATATACACATATACACATAACAAAAGATTATAGGGGAAACAGTATTCCAAAATGTTAACAGTGGTTATCTCTGAATGGCAAAATTACAGGTACTTTTTCTTTTCATATAGCTAATATTTTCCATATTTTCTACAACATGCTTCTAATACTTTAACATTAGAAAAATGTTTAATTTCAGAAATAGAGTTCTACACTCACATAATGACTTGGAAATGTGCTTAAACTATAAAATTCAGTGAAAAGTAAAAGCAGGATACAAATGGTAGATGCGCGATGATTACAACTGTATAAAAACATATCTATATGTGGCGAAGGCTAAAAATGAATATGGAAGATAACCTCTTTGTATGGAATCTTTGGGGCCTGGCATATTCCAGGGAATTTTCCCATTTATGGAAAAGATCAATCCATATAAAGATAAATGACCTATAAAGTTCTGTTCTAGAGGTAGTTTCCCCTGGCATAATGTTTTAATCCTTTTGGTATTATGAATGGTACTGACTTTTTTTAAGTTTATCTATTTTTTTTTTTTTATTAATCCCTACATACAAGGTGGGGCTCAAACTCATGATCCTGAGATCAAGAGTTACATGCTTCGCTGACTGAGCCAGCCAGGTGCCTCCCAACACCAACTTTAAACAAAAGCAAGTAGTACTAGTATAACTTAATGATGAACAAACCAATAAGTGAAGCCAATGACATGCTCCAGGTGGTGGATGCCTGACCAAATACTACATTTTATAAAGGGATTCTACTCACTATCTTGATGATGGTGATATTAATCGCAGAAACTATAATTTACTGAGCATCTATTATGTCCTAGTTTCATTATATACATTATTTCATCCTCACAACCTATAAAGTAGATATTAACATTTCATAGGTGAGGAAACTCAGGTACAAAGAAGCTAAGTCATATAGATGGTAAATAGCAGCACCAGGATTTAAACCTGCATATCTGTAACCTCAGAGTCCATATTCTGTTGTTTCACAGCATGAACTAGATTTGGGTGTGTTAAGAGGGTATGATTTTTTTTTTAAAGATTTTATTTATTCATGAGAGACACAGACAGAGAGGCAGAGACACAGGCATAGGGAGAAGCAGGCTCCATATAGGGGACCTGATGTGGGACTCAATCCTGGGACTCCAGGATCAGGCCATGGGCCGAAGGCAGGTGCTAAACCACTGAGCCACCCAGGGATCCCAAGAGGGTATGATTTTAAGTGACTTTTCACCTTATCTTCAAAATCTTCCAAAACACTGTTGTCTTTTTTCATAATACAGTATTAAAAAATAAGTATTATAAGTAGTAGTTAGTCTACTTCTTGGTCCAAAATAAAGAAAACAGCAAAAATTACCAAGAAAAAAAATGAAATAAAAATCAAGGAACTTTCATTCTTAACTAACTGCAGTCAGCACAGGTTAAAAATCCCAGAAAGTCAGGAGTTAATGAGATGAAAATGAGGGTTGAGTACCAGTGGTGACAAGATAAGGGGGACTATTTTAGAAGTCACTGCACTGGGAAGGAATTCATGGCAGTTGCAAACAAGGCTTGCTGGGCATTAGTGGCAGCACTAGAGTATTCAGCTTTGAAAAGCAAGTCCCTGTCTTGAGGAGAACAGGCAGATTTGAGGATTAGAGTGAGCAGGGCATAACCTGAGCACACGAAAAAGACAAGGATTTAGCTTTCAATTTGGAACACATGGTAATAAGGGCAGGTGGATGCTGGGAGGGGAAAAAAATCTAAATGGGAGAGGTAGGAGATAGAATGCAGGTATGGATGGCCTGGAGGACACTGGCATTCCTAATTACAATTATCTGTCAGGACAAAAGCTCAGGGCTAAGATGCTTCTATAGAAACTGATGTAACCAAAAAAAGAGAGAGGAAAAAAAAAGAAACTGATGTAACCAAAGAAAGGGAGGTTAGGTGAACAGAACTCTGAGGCTGCATTTCACTGAAGCTGGGTTACTTTGATATTTGTAAGGCAGTTCTCAAAAGCAGTTCAACCTCTCCAAGTCTGTGGCCCCAGTGAGCATTTCTGGGAGCACCAGGCATTGGTGCCCTGAGGATGGGAGGGGTACCAATATAGCACTACTCAGGAAAACCAGTACCTTCCACCTTAGTGGATTGCTGCTTCAGCTTTAAGTTCTTTGCGTGGGTCTTCCCCAGGTAGTGCGACTGGGCCACGACAGGGGAGGAAAAGGTCATGTTACAGATGGGGCAGCACTGGTTCTTGTCTTTGCTTCTGCTGCTCTTCTGGTTGGGAGAAAGAACACAGGTCTGATCAAGCCACTGCCCAGCCAGAAAGTCTTCAATGGTTCCCCACTGCCCATAGAAGAATGGGCATTCAAGGCCCCCTTCATACACTAACCCCAACCTACCTTTCTGGATCTTTCTCCAGCTACTTCATTTTATGCTCTAAATCACCATTTCCCATTTTATTCTCTTTTGCTTTCTTGCTTTGCTTGGGTCATTCCTGATACCTAGAATGATCTTCCTTTTTACCTGCCTGGCATGTATCTCCATAGGCTTCAAGGCCCATCTATCTATCTATCTATCTATCTATCTATCTATCTATCATCTATCACTTCTGGGAGACTGTTACTCAAGAAAATCATTCAGTACACAATTACCGAGCTGCTTTGCGTGAATATTCAGAAACAATCCTGTTCCTTCTCTGCATGCCCAGAGTACATTAAACAGACTTTTATCATACCACTTGTCACCCAAACTGACAGTGTCACATCTTAGGAGACATTGGGCATGGACCATTGGACTCATCTTTGTTTCCTATCCTTAGCACCATGTTGGAAGTCTAGCACACAACAGTTATTTGGGGTTTGCAGAACAAGCAGATTACTGAGTTTTATTTGTTTGATTGTGATTAGGCCAGAAAACAATTGCATTTCAAGCCTATGTTAAGAGCTCCCGGCCTCTCTCTTGGGTCTGATCTCTGAATAAAGTATTCATTACAAGAGTATTTTTCAATCTTGGCACTATCGACATTTTGGACTAGTTACTCCTTTGTTGTAGAGGAAGGGAATGTCGGTCACCTCATTTGAACTACTGCATCATCCTGAGAGATGAAGTAATCAAGATACAAAGAGGTGAAATAACTTGTCTAGAGTCTCAGAGTTTGTCTTGTCTTTCTGAACTCTAAATCATAAGCAATAGGGCAACTAGGGATGGGAGTTTGAAGAAGGGATAAGTAAGGCCCTTCCAAACTTGTGACCACTATAATTGGAGGCAATCTGTAAATTTTCATTCACTGAGCATCCACTAGGAATTGGAATTTTACTTCACAATTCCTTTAAAAGGTAGGAATTACCTCCATTTTATGAGTAAAGTACAGAGAGGTGAAGTGATTTGCTCAAAGTCACCAAACCAGTAATTTGCAGAGCTAGTATTGGGCCCTAGTCAGCAGACTTCTCATCCCATTACATTTGAACAACCTCCCATGGAACAAAAAAAATGGTACCCTTGAGGGACTAGGATTGTTCCAGCATAATTCTCACAGTATTTCTCAGCCAAAAAGCAAATGCATTTACAACCTCACTGGAGCAGGCATTTGGAAAGATGTTTCTTCCACTTGTTTATTCAAAACATTCAGTGCTGAACTCAGCTCTTTCCCTCCCATTTCAAGAAAGCAAGTAGCTTGGCTTCCTTCCCCTTTTTCTCCTTGAGTAGTGAATGGGTAGCTTCTAGTCCTACTCCAATAAACCACTGAGTAGTAATGCATAACAATAGTTTCATTTACCGAGCCCCTATTATGTGCCAGGTTCTGTTTTTGGGGCTTTTGATAAACCTTCCCTCATTTTAGTTTGGAAAAATTCTAAAAGATAACTGATGTCAGCATTCTTATTTTTAGGGAAAAAGAAATCAAGGCTCAAAGTAACAAGACTTGAAAGTCACACAACATGGCCAGGATTTGAAGCCAATTCAGTTTGACTCAAAGCCTACCTTCTTTCCACCACACCAACCTGACTGCTGGCTTCATCAGGAAGCGAGTAGTCTCAACATGGCAGCTGGATTACCTGTTCTGAGTCTAGCTTCTTCGTTTCCCCTTTTAATGTCTCCATTCCATGGATTGCTAGGTATCTCTTTACTTTGTTGGCATGTTTTTTGCTCTGCAAGAACACAGGAAAAAGATCAAAGATCGCCAAATGCCATTTCATATCCAAGGCACTCAAAAATACTAGATTTTCATCTGATTTATCCTCACAAAAACTTTTGAGGAGGAAAAGGTAGGGGGAAGAAACCTAGTTTATTGAGTTCCTACTCTGTTCAAAGCACTTTACAGGCTATCAAATCTAACCTTCATAGTAATCTATGAGAAAATTACCATTATCTCTATCTTACAGATAAGGAAACGAAGGCTGAATATGGTGAGGTTTCTTGCCCAAAATGAGCAGCACAGTTGTGATTATAACTCAGGTGTATTTAAAGCCAAACCGCATACTTTCTAACTATACTACACTGAGATATAAGTATGATGATCCTGATTTAGATGGGAGAAACGAGATACAGAAAAATTAAATCAACCTTCAAGTCACAGTCAACATTATTGGATATAATGTCTGGGGGGCTAAGAAGGAATTACATACACTTCATTGTGTAAGCCATGGAGAAGTGAGGACTTGGCACTGAGTGTGGCAAGTAAAGTATTTCTTTCTTCTCTTTCTTTCTTTCTTTCTTTCTTTCTTTCTTTCTTTCTTTCTTTCTTTTTCTTTCTTTTTTTCTTTCTTTCAGATTTTATTTATTTTATCAAGAGAGATACAGAGACAGAGAGAAGCAGAGACACAGGCAGAGGGAGAAGCAGGCACCACGCAGGGAGCCTGATGTGGGACTCGATCCCGGGTCTCCAGGATCACGCCCTGGGCTGAAGGCAGGCGCTAAACCGCTGAGCCACCCAGGGATCTCCTCTTTTTTTCATTTTTAGAAAGTAAAGTATTTCTAAAGGTATAATGGCATACCTGGTAGTGTGCCAACTTCTGGGATTCAGAAATGAGCAGGGCGCAGCAAACCTTACACTGGGTATTGGTAAAGAGACACTGGTTCTTCTGGATCATGTGTTCCACTATAGAGAGGAAAATAAAAAATATTTGAGTTAAAAACCTTCCTCAACAGCACTGTCTTTGAATCCTGTCTCAAACGTAGGGACTGAGTAATGGAATGCCATGCTATTACATCTCAGGACATGTTAGTTACTCCTTCCCTATGCTTTCATGATTCATGCTATGTTCTCATATCACCTATACAATTACATACTTTACAATTTTGTGCAAGCCAATTTTTACTAAGTACATTTTTTGAGTTATAATTGACAAGTGACATTATATTAGTTTCAGGTGTACAGTATAATGATTTGGTAGTTGTATATATTGCAAAATGGTTACCATGATGACTTTAGTTAACATTTTTCATCATATATAGTTACATATTTTTTTTCTGGTGATGAAAACTTGCCAGATTTACTCTCTCAGCAACTTTCAAATATACAATACAGCATTATTAACTATAAACACCATGCTATTCTTTTAAAAAGAAATCTTTAGATCATTAACTTAAAATTAAATAGATACCAATAAAAATGAAATAATACTAGACAGACACTGGTGTCAGAAGCTTGGAGCTCTTCCTATGAAAAATAAGAGAGCGGCAACTGTGAAGAAAGGTATTAAGACATGACAGCATCTAAATAAGACTTCTTCCTAGATAGTATCAGAAAGATTGAAAGACTTCAAAAAAGAATCATTTTATCACTCATTAAAAAAAATTGTAATAAATTCTGTAGCTTTTTAATTATTTGTGAACATTTTCTGTCAAATTAAAAATAAAACAACTCCCACATTTATTCCATGAAAAGATCAATAGCATTTTCCTTTATTATTTATTTTTATTTTATTATTTCATTAATTTTATTTTCATGTAATCTCTATACCCAATGTGGGGCTCAAATTCACAATCCTGAGATAAAAAGTTGCATGTTCTACAGATTGGGCCAGCCAGGAGCTGTGCACGTTCTGATTTTAAAAATTTACATTGGTATAATAACTGTATACACTATTTTGGTTAGAAAATCGTATTGGGGTTTAGTTATGAATAAATAAAGAAAATCTTAAAAAAAAAGCTCATATTCTTTCATACAAAATAAATGTTCTCATCTTTCTTTTTTTTTTTTTTTTTTTTTAATGTTCTCATCTTTCAATGAGAGACACAGAGAGAGAGGCAGAGACATAGGCACAGGGAAAGGCAAGGCTCCCCGCTGGGAGCCTGATGTGGGCCTTGATCCCAGGATCCTGAGATCATGACCTGAGCCAAAGGCAGACACTCAACCACTGAGCCACCCAGGTGCCCCCGTGAGTTTATTAAGGAATATTAAAAGTTGGTTTCTTTGGAATAAATCAGAATATTTGAAAAGCAATTTTGGAGGATAAGTATCAATTAGAAGATGCTGCTGGATGATCTTTTACCTTCATGAGAAAAGGTAAATTAATTCTGTTATCATACAGTAAACACAAACTATTATCTAATACCAGTCAAGTATGTATGGTACAAATCATGCATGATTAGGAACTTGGGCTCCCCAGGCACGCTAACTTGGGTCCATATCCTACTGCTGTTTCTATGTGTGATTTTTTTTTTAAGATTTATTTATTTATTTATTTATTTATTTATTTATTTATTTATTTATTTATTTAATTTATTTATTTATGATAGACAGAGAGAGAGAGAGAGAGAGGCAGAGACACAGGAGGAGGGAGAAGCAGGCTCCATGCACCAGGAGCCCGACGTGGGACTCCATCCCAGGACTCCAGGATCGCGCCAAAGGCAGGTGCTAAACTGCTGAGCCACCCATGGATCCCCTCTATGTGTGATTTTATAAGATTACTTAATCTCCATCCTGTAGTTTTCCTCTGTTTCCAATGGGGGTCCTCCCTTATCTGGCAGTTTCACTTTCTGTGATTTCAGTTACCCACGATCAACTAGTCTGAAAGCAGATAATATTCCTTTTCACATATCTTCAGAAGGTCAACAGTAGCCTAATGTTATGTCAGAATGCCTACATCATTCACTTCACTTTATCTCATCACGTAGGCATTTTACCATTTCACATTACCACAAGGTGGGTACAGTACAGTCAGATATTTTGAGAGATAAAAAGAGATACCACATTCACATAACTTTTACTACATATTGTTATAATTGTTCTATTTTATTAATAGTTATTATTGTCAGTCTCTTACTGTGCTTAGTTTCTAAATAAAACTTTATCACAGGAATGTATGTATAAGAAAAAACATAGTATATATATAGGGTTCAATACAATCTGTGGTTTAAGGCATTCAGTAGGGATCTTGGAATATATTCCCCATGAATAAGGGGAACTACTGATAACATGTATCTCATAGAATGTATTATCCTTGTGATTTTCCACACAAAGCATCTGGTACAGTGTCTAGCTTAGTACATGCTCATTGTCAATGTTATATGTCAAATTCTTTTTTTTAAGATTATTTATTTATTCATGAGACATAGAGAGAGAGAGAGAGAGTGAGGCAGAGACAGAGGGAGAAGCAGGCTTCATGCAGGGAGCCAGATGTGGGACTCGATTCCGGGACTCCGGGATCATGCCCTGAGCTGAAGGCAAAACGTTCAACCGCTGGGCAACCCAGGCATCCCAATGTCAATTCTTTTTTTTTTTTTAAAGATTTTATTTATTTATTCATAGACACAGAGAGAGAGGCAGAGACACAGAGGGAGAAGCAGGCTCCATGCAGGGAGCCCGATGTGGGACTCGATCCTGGGTCTCCAGGATCACACCCCAGGCTGCAAGCTGTGCCAAACCACTGCGCCACCAGGGCTGCCCCCAATGTCAATTCTTTTTTGGGTACTATGCTTTTCTCTCTCTCTCTCTCTCTTTAAGATTTTATTTATTTATTCATGAGAGACAGAGAGAGAGAGTCAGAGACATAGGCAGAGGGAGAAGTAGGCTCCTCATGGGTAGCCTGATGTTGGGACTCGATCCCAGGACCCCAGGATCATGACCTGACCCAAAGGCAAACACTCAACCACTGAGCCACCCAGGTGCCCCTTGGGTACTATGCTTCTGAGCAAATTAATTATTTTCTATATTGTACCCGTGAATATATATATTTTAAAATATGGATTTTAAGTAATCTCTACGCCCAACATGGGGCTTGAGCTCACAACTCCAAGATCAAGAGTCTCATGCTTCGTGGACTCAGCCAGCCAAGTGCCCTAAGATATTTTAGATTTTATTTATTTATGAGAGAGAGAGAGAAAGAGAGAGAGAGACAGAGAGAGGCAGAAACAGGCAGAGGGAGCAGCAGGCTCCATGCAGGGAGCCCGACGTGGGACTCCATCCCGGGGCCTCCAGGATCAGGCCCTGGGCTGAAGGTGGCGCTAAACTGCCAAGCCACCCGGGCTACCCGGTATTTCTTATTCTAGAACTTGATAAATGTTTCTTGTTCTAGAACTTGATAAGTGTTAAATTTTTTCTCACTGTTCTTAATCTGACTTTGAAACATCTAAATTCACCTAACATATTACACAAGTTCTACACTGTAGGAAAGTATGATCTTAACCTGTTCTTAATTGTTGGGCCTGGGGAACTAAGCCTTACCTTTGGGGAGGAAGCAACATTTCACATAAGGCCTAAGTTCTATCATGACACCAATAATCTGACGCAGGGGCAGAGTCCAAAAAACTGTGAGGGGACAGCAAGCTCACATTTTTTATCTTCTACTCTGGACCAAAACATGGTCAAGATGCCCAGGAGGGAGGTTCTTGGTAGGAAACTTTTATTTTATTTTTTTTTAAGATTTATTTATTTGAATGGGGAGAGGAGCAGAGGGAGAGAATCTTCAAGTAGATTCCCTGCTAAGCAGAGAGTTTGATATGGGGCTTGATTCCATAACCTATGAGATCATTACCTGAGCTGAAACCAAGGGTCAGATGCCTAACTGACTGAACCACTCAGGTGCCCCTCTTGGTAGGAAACTTTTTTAAAAAATTATTATTTATTTATGATAGTCACACACACACAGAGAGAGAGAGAGAGAGAGAGGCAGAGACACAGGCAGAGGGAGGGAGAAGCAGGCTCCATGCACCGGGAGCCCAACGTGGGATTCGATCCCGGGTCTCCAGGATCGCGCCCTGGGCCAAAGGCAGGTGCCAAATCGCTGCGCCACCCAGGGATCCCTTGGTAGGAAACTTTTAAGGTGACTTTCCCTACTCTACTACAAAATCTAAAGTTTATTTATGCCAGCCCTTTTGGGGAGAAAGGCTTGCTATCTAGCTATATTTCTGCTCCTTGGTGTCCCTGTTTATTTCCCCATTTTTCTCCTACAGTGGTCAATAAGTTTTTGTGAAAGACCTTGCTAGCCTCAGTTGGGTTCAGAGAAACCAAGGGAAGGGGGTCTGTGAACACACCTGGGCCAGAGCTTTTATTTTAAAGGAAGGATGAGAGATTCCTCAGAATGCAAAGCCTATAAGGGGGGAGGTGGTACCCAGGCGTCAGAGTCCAGTCATCCTCTCCTGACCTGGAGATGCTGGATTTTTTAAAAAAAATTCTTTAAAGAAGATGAGGTAAATTAAAGAAGATGAGGTTCTTTTTTAAAGATATTCACAATCTGACCTTCAAACACTGAACAGGACAGGGACCATGCACCTCTCTGGCCCAGAGAGTATATCCACACAGTCCACAAATATGTATTTGGAATGTCTTCTCTGTGCCAGCACTGGAGCCATATCAACAAGACAGAACATAAAGTAAGTAAAAAGCAAAATAATGACAGAGAGGAAGAAATGCTATGAAAACAAAGTGAGTGGTAGAGAATGATGGGGGCAGTATAATCAGTGAAGATCATCTTAGGAGGCATCAGCCACAAGGTCTGGGGGAAATAGTGTTCTAGCCTGAGACAGTGCCAGGTCTCTGAGGCAGGGATTAGTTCGGCATATTCGGAATAGAAAGGAAGTCAGTGTGGCTAGAGTATGGTGAAGGAGACAAAAGTGGTGGGAAATAAAGTTGGAGAGGTAGTGTGAGGCCTACCG